AAATAATATGGGCACAATATTCAAGAGTTGACTGGTTAAAATATGGTGACAGAGGCACAAAATCCTCCCACAATAACGCCTTAAAAGAAAAGCAAAAAGTACCATAACTAGAATATAAGATGAAAATGGTTTTAGGTTATGCATCCATCTCACATTGAGCATATTTTTCTTTTTATTACTCTTATTTAGAGAGTTAGAGCAGAGAGATATGAGTAGGGCATTGGATTATATTCGATGGAAAGTGACTACTTTAATATGTGTCCAGCTACTTGCCCTTTCCACAGCATCACAATGCATATTGAGTTAAAACCAATATTTCAGACCAAAGCCTTATGACCTAATGGTATATCTCTTATTTTCTTTTAGAATTTCTAACATGTTTTTCATCATGATGTAACCTCTTTTGTTCTTGATTATTTGAATAAGCGTGAATCGCTCCATAACACGAACCATACATACATCACTCTTACTTCAAAAACTAGTCAACCTCAATGCCTCTTGGGTTATAGACTATTAAGTTTATGTAATGTTGTCATGAAAATTGTAACTAAATGCATAGTTAATTGGTTGAAACTCCTACCTTATGATATAGTTCATGTCTCTCAATCAACTTCTATTACATGTTGATTTATAATAGTTAATGTTCATGGCTTTTCTAATTATTTCACTGCGTAAAAGTAAACACTACTATAGAAAATGGATCTTTTATAATGATACTAGATTTTAAAGCTTATGACTATGTATTATGGTTGTCCTTGAAAATACATTAACTAAATTAGGTTTTCATGAGCGATTTGTTTCTTTGGTAATCGGGTGTGTAACGACACTCTCTTACTTTATGTTACTAAATGGTACTCCATATCAGACTATCTAAAAAGAAAGATTTGTCAAGGAGACCACTTATCTCCTTATTATTTTGATTTATATGTAGAGGCGTTCTTACCTATAAAAGGAGAGTAGAAGAGGATGGCTCTTTAACGGTGTTAAAATTTATAAATCAACTCCTTTGATCTCAATCCTCTTTGTTGATAATGGTAGTTTAATCTTTTAACAAGCAATAGAAGAAAATATAGAAGTTATAATAACATTCTGTTGGAGTATTATAAGGCCAGGATTCAAGAAACAAACTTTGAAAAATCAATAATATCCTTCTCAAAGGGAGTTGATCGCTTAAAAGAGAGAGTTTTAGATTTATTTTAAAAGTAAATGTGGCAGATAATCATGAAGCCTATCTTGGGCTCCCTACATCTCTTGGGGGATCTCTTACATCTACCTTTTAGTTCATGGTGGATAGAATGGCCAAAACGACTCAAATTTTGAAGGAGAAAACATTATCAAGTAAAGAGGTGATGATCAAAGTAATAACACAAGTAGTTCCTTCCAATATTGTATGCTCAGATAGAGAGAATAATATCTCAATTTTGGTAGGGTCGAAAGGAAGACGAAAACAACATCTATTGGTTATCATCGATGAAACTTTGTACCTAAAAATGTGAGGGGGATTTGGAATTTTAAGATTTCAAATGTTTTATTCTAGTCATGCTTGTAAAATAGGTTTTGAGACGTGTAAATACCTTCATCTCTGTTTGTACAAGTATTAAAGGCTAGATATTTTGGGAATTACAATTTTTGAGAAGCTAGGTAGGCTAGGTCTAAACTAAGCTATAGTTAAAGAAACATCTTAGTTAGAAGAGAACTACTTCAATGAGGGCTGAGATCGAAAGTAGGGAATGGTCAAAAGGTCTCAATTTGGAGGGATAAATGGATTTCATCTTAAGTTGGTCATCGGATTGTTACACTACATTAAATTCACCATATCCTACTTGGGTTTTTAACCTTATTCAATCAAAAGAGTCGACATGAAACATACCAGTAATCCAATCAAATTTTTATCTCATTTATATATATAAAATTATCAGTATCCCATTGAGCCGTCAATTACCACATAACAAGCTATTCTTTATGCATATATATAATAAAGAGCATATAATAAGATATGACTATTTTCAGGCTTCGTAAATGAGATGTAGGAATAGCATTGAATCATCCTTACAGAGGTAGGTTAAAATATGGAAGTGGCTATCATCCATTAAAATTTTTTCTAGAGTTAAGCATATGGTATAGAGAATACATAATGACACCTTATTGGTAAAGTGGCGTTTGACGCAAAAGGAGTTTCATATTAATACCATTTGCTCAATGTATAAGAAGGGGAGAAGACCATTGATCACTGATTTTGAAGTTGTTATTTTTCATATTAGTCCTTTTAGAAATTAAACCCAAGTTAGTCTTTCTTTTCTCTCATGGTTATATAATAGTTTAACTGAAAAAATGGAACAAATGATGTAGTTCATATTGATCGTTTAGGGTACTTGGTGGGTAAAGAACACATGGATATATGATCAAAGATAGCCTCATTCAAAGTCCTTAATAATAAAGCTATGAGATTCTTTCTTAAGTTTTTGAGTGATAATAATAACTCCTTGGTGAGTGAGAATCTAAGAGAGGGTGTTTCGATAACTTCGTTTTCACCCATGGGATAGCTTCGTCATCCACAAAGTACTTATAAATTGGACATTAATGATTCTTTATCTACTGAGGGATATATGGGTATAGGTGTGGGTTGTAGAGATTGAAATGAAAAAATTACTATTGCAGGCCTGAGGAGGTTATATGAATAAATCTCTATGGCTATGGAGGAAAACTTTGTCCTTGGTATTTCTTTGTATTCCCATAAGCTAGTTGTAATACC